CACATATCCTTTACTTCACCGGTCACCCGATCGACACGATCTGCAAGACGCGCCTTATGCGACTTACGTCCTCGTGTATTCAGCATTTTATAATCGTCCAACTTACGTCTGCATTTAGATAAGGTTGCTGTCAGTTCGTCGGCACGACGAAGGACGAAGTCGGCGTATATCTGAAATTTCTCGATCGATTCTTCGTCCAGAGACAGTTCCAGACCAGACTCATTTTGTATATTTACATGCAACGGTACACCATCCACCGTTATTGCAAGAATTGACACCATCTCTGTTGTCTCGATCAGATACTCGTGACACCCGAAAACATAATGATGAAATTGTGCGAGAATATATATATATCCTTTCGAGTCGTTACGTCATCTGTCTGCGAAACCGACCATCACGTCATCGGTTTCGAACTAAGGTGGGAGGCCAACGAGTCATGACGTCATGTGGGACCCGATCGCACACGTGAATATTATAAATTAGATGACGTTAAGGATTTCTGAGACCGATGACGTCATGGTCTCTCGATCGAAGCATATAAAAGAGATCGTCGCGAAGTGTACCTCAAACCGTACGAATGTTGGAATCTCTCTGAAGCAACTATCAATCGCTCTGAGGCAGCAACAAAACAGTCAGTCGATCAAGACAAGACAAGAAGCCAAAGCAACGAAGCAACGATGGATCCTACTCACTTGACTTGTCCTTACGACGTTAGCCACACCGTAAAAAGGACGAAGTATATTCAACATTTGATTAAATGCAGAAGAAACTACAACGGTCCTGCCTTAGTCAGATGCCGATTTTGCAAAACCGAAATGCAACCGAAGTACTTGGATCGTCACGAAGATGATTGCGATGAAAAGGGTTTAGATCTTGAAATGTAAGTACGATACCACAAAGGAATTTATAAGGATTTTCGTTACAAGAATTTTTACTTAAATAATATTAAATAATTTTCCGTGTTATTCTTCTTCTTCCACACAGTTTGCCCAAGTACGTACGAATACCGTCCGAAGACTTATTGTAAGAACGGGATAGGAAAGACGTGTACTACTGGTTCATCGTCGAGCTTCTGGGCACGACGTTGCTGCACTCAAGTTTCCAAACATTGAGAGTTTTGGAGCAAAATCTACTAAATAAACCGTTATTCGAATTGATATAAATATGACGAATGAAAGTTTTTAATAAATAATAGAAAATAAAGATAATTGTGTGTCGGACTTCAATATTTAAAGTCGGAGTATAATGATGATGATGATAATGAAGGTGGTGATGAAGGTGACGATGAAGATGATTAAGTTCGCTCATTTGAGACGGGGGACAACTATGACGTACCGTGTTGTTTCACGGACCGATATAACGTTAAAACGGAACAGTTGTTGTAAATTTCGAGTGCGTCTTTGATTGATTGATGGTTAGAATACATGTTTGGGAGACTAATAAAATCTATCTTAGTTGATGTGTCTTGAATCTCGATGAGTTGACACGTTCATCCATGCAGCATCTTAACTTATCGCTGCTGAATTTAAGATCTGCATTCAACATCATCACCATCATCATCTTCATCACTACGTCATTTGTTACAATTACGAGCAAAGAATGTAATATGACACCATGTTTCTTTTTTTTAATGTTTTAATGCATATTTCCATCATGA